ATTGTCAGCCGCTCTGAGACACCTTTGGGTAGTGAAGGGCGGGGTATAAATCCACTCTTCTCTCTTCTTCTTCTTGAAAAAGAGCTGTTTCTGTCAAGAGCTCCCTCAACCCCACCTTATCTCTGGTCTTCTATCTCCTTACAAGAGGAGCTTCCAGACACCTTTGCTCGAATGCCTCAGACCTTTCTATTTCTCTCCATGCAGGTCAAGTTCAGTGAAAACAGTGCCGGGACTTCGCCTCCACAGTGAGTACCTGTTGTTACTGGATGTGAAACAGTGCCATGCGGCGGTCGGAGCATCAGACTAGGATCCGTGGGGCCCGAGGTCCAAAGCCCCACGCTGCTACAAAACACACTGGGTGACCGGTCCCACTGTCCCAGCCTAACTGGGTTGCCACCTCCGGGCTGGGAAATTCCTGGAGATTTGGTGGTGGAGCTTGGGGAGGAGAGGGAACTTAAAGGTAAAGGTTCCCTTGCTCGAAAGCTAGGGTCGCAGTGCTCATCTCCGTTTCAAAGCCGAAGAGCCAGCGCTGTCCGAAGACGTTTCCATGGTCATGTGGCCGGCATGACTAAACACCAAGGCGCACGGAACGCTGTTCCCTTCCCACCGAAGCGCACGGAACGCTGTGACCTTCCCACCAAAGTGGTACCTATTTACCTACTTGCAATTTCTTGCTTGGGATCTGCTAGGCTGGCAGGAGCTGGAACTAGAGACGGGAGCTCACTCCATCATGCGGCACACTTGAGTCTCGAACTGCTGAACTACCGACCTACCACAGCCTGCAGTTCAGCGTCTTAACCACTTGAGCCACCGCAGCTAAGAGGGAACTTAAGAGTGGTATAATATCATAGAGTCCGCCCTCCAAAGCAGCCGCTTCCTTCAGGGGAACTGCCTTCTGGAGTTCAGTTCTCATTCCAGGAGATCTCTGGGCCCCACCTGGAGATTAACAACCCTAAACCTAATCTTCACACAGGGTTGTTGTGGGGGATTAAACTCTGGAAGGGGGATGTACAATGTAGAAGAAGAAGAAGAAGACATTGGATTGATACCCTGCCCTTCACTACCCGAAGGAGTCGCAGAGTGGCTCACAAACTCCTTTCCCTTCCCCTCCCCACAACAGATACCCTGGGAGGTCAGTGGGGCTGAGAGAGCTCTGACAGAAACGGCTCTTTTTCAAGAACAGCTCTTATCAGAACTACGGCTTGCCCCAGGTCATCCAGCCAGGGGCAAGTGGAGGAGTGGGGGATCAAACCTGGTTCTCCCAGATTAGAGTCCGCGCACTTAACCACTACACCAAACTGGCTACACCCCCCTGACCTCCCTGGGGGAAGCATAGGACAAAAGATATAGATGTGGGTGGGGTGGGTCCCATCCAATGCTCCCTCTAAGCCAGTGTTCCCCCTAAGCTGAGTTAGTGTGAGCCAGCTCACGGTTTTTTTAGCCTCCGGCTCACACAGTTTTGCCTTCGCTCAGGAAGGGATGGCTCCAGAGCAAACGTAATTTATGCCGCAGCCAAATCGCTCACTCGCAACTTTAATGCCAGTCTCTCACAAAGCAAGACTCCACATCGTAGCGGAAGCATCGCAAGCTGTGGAGTCTTGTGAGCAAAAAAAATCTACTTTGTGAGCGACTGGCATTAAAGTTGTGAGCAGGCAATTTGGCTGCCGCATCAATCAGCTTGCCCTCCTTCCTGAGCTAAGGCAAAAATGTGCGAGCTGGAGGCTAAAAGACTGTAAGCCAGCTCACACTCACTCAGCTTAGAGGGAACACTGGTCCCATCTACTCCCCTTACAATAAACCGCAAGCAGTGTCAAGTAGCTGTGAAAAAATACGGCTCCTCTTTCTCTGGGGTTTAATGGCTCTCACACACCCCTAGAGGGCGCTCTTGCAGCCCCAACGCGTCCTCCGCGTCCCACGTACCTCCAGCCGCAAGACAATACATTCCTCAATTCATACCATCCGTTCTATAGAGCCAGAATTCCCTCCAAACCTCAAATGTGACCTATATTCTGCTGAAAACAGTCCCCGGGCAGACCAGGAAGAACTTTCCCACAGCCGCCCGACATTCTTTGTCGCAATTAAATCACCTATCCCCACGGATCGAGGCACCGCGGCGCAAAAGAGTGTGGATTTGCCCAGAAGCACAGAGAGAGGGGGGGTTCGTTTTCCTCTTTTTTCAAGGCCAGAGTTGACATTCCGGGAAGGCTTTCCTCCGTTTCCCACTGGCCAAAGTGCCTTGATTGGAAGAACTCTTTTCTGGGTGTGTTAGATGGGAATAAATGGATTGGGTGGGCCTCCCTGGACGGGATATTTTCAGCCACTGCAGCCCAGCGGAAGGGAAGTCTGTGCTCAGGACTAAAATTCACAATCAGAAGTCTCAGGCCACACTTCACAGAGGCTGAGCTGCAGCTCAGTGGCAGAGGAAGAAGACGACGAAGAAGAAGAGACTGGATTTATACCCTGCCCTTCACTACCCAAAGGAGTCTCAGAGCGGCTTACAAACTCCTTTCCCTTCCCCTCCCCACAACAGACACCCTGTGAGGTTGGTGGGGCTGAGAGAGCTCTTTCAAGAACTGCCCTTGAGAGAACTTGCGACTGACCCAAGGTCACACCAGCATACCTAACAAGGGATACTCCAAAATTCAGCTCATTCTGTCACTTTGATATAGAAGAAGAAGAAGAGATTGGATTTATAGCCTGCCCTTCACTACCCAAAGGAGTCTCAGAGCGGCTTACAAACTCCTTTCCCTTCCCCTCCCCACAACAGACACCCTGTGAGGTTGGTGGGGCTGAGAGAGCTCTTGACAGAAACGCCTCTTTTTCAAGAACAGCTCTTATCAGAACTACGGCTTGCCCAAGGTCATCCAGCCAGGTGCAAGTGGAGGAGTGGGGAATCAAACCCGGTTCTCCCAAGTCCGCGCACTCAACCACTACACCAAACTGGCTCCGTTTGGCATGCAGGAGGCCCTGCGTTCAATCCCCAGCTTCTCCAGTTGAAGGATCACACAGCAGGCAATGTGAAAGACCCGTAGCCAAGACCCAGGAGGAATACAGACATGAGAATCTAACCTAATAGCCTAAGCTAAATGCTGTATATTTTTTAACAACAAATATTAAGATAACAAGTCTGAGGCTACGGTCACACATACCAGATAACGCGGGGGGAGGTGAGGCTATTTGCACCATCGCAGTTTGACACGCCACTACGGCGATCAGACGCAACGGCGGTGAACCCGGGGTTTTTTTCTCTTCTTCTTGAAAAAGAGCAGTTTCTGTCAGAGCTCTCTCAGACCCACCGACCTCACAGGGTGTCTGTTGTGGGGAGGGGGAGGGAAAGGAGTTTGTAAGCCGCTCTGAGACTCCCTTGGGTAGTGAAGGGCGGGGTATAAATCCAATTTCTTCTTCTTCAGAATTCACTCCGCTCTCTGAGATATAAGGACAGATGGACTCACATTTTAGTCCATCTGTCCTTATACTGGAGAGGAGATATAAGGACAGATGGACTCACGTTCTAGCCATATCTGAAGAAGTGAGCCAGTGACTCACAAAAGCACCTCCCCTCCCATCAATTTTGTTAGCCTTTAAGGTGCTCCTGGACGCTTGCTCTTTGGTACTGCTACAGACAGACCAACATGGCGACCCACCTTGATCTAACAGTATATCAATATTTTAATCAAAATTAATTAATTTTTAAAAATGATTTATTTATTATATTAATACCCCGCCCATCCTGCGAACAGGCTCAGGGTGGCTAACAAGAGCGGTACAATGTACCTAATCGGCATAACCATAAAAATGTTAAAACGACCTAAAATACATACTCATTCATATTACATAAAAAATAACGGTTAGCAATAAAGTGCTCCCAGTGCTGAAAGATTAGATGGCGTGCTCTCAAGATCTAAATCCACGTCGTCCGTCCGGTCATCCTCCCTCGAGCCGATAGAGGCCTGGGGATGCATCTGGGCCAGTCCTAGGTTCCAGAAGTTCAATGGAATCCTTGATGGCAACAGTAGGGGTGGCGGCTCCTATTTAAAAGCCTGGCGGAAGAGCTCTGTCTTGCAGGACCTGCCGAACTGTAAAAAAAGGTCCCGCAGGGCCCTGATCTCCTCCGGGAGCTCGTTCCACCAGTGAGCCATCACAGAAAAGGCCCTGCCCCTCGTCACCGCTAGCCTGGCTTCTTTAGGGCTGAAAAGGCTCTGGTGGCCACTTCGGAGGGATTAGGGCTGAAAAGGCTCTGGTGGCCACTTTGGGGGGATTTGGGCAGGAAAACTGCGGGGAAACCGGCCATGCGAAAGCCCCATCGCTTCTGTGCTTCATATGCAGCCACACCAGCGACGGGGAGACCACCCCAAAATGCGGAAGCTACCTTTGTTTCTTGACCTTAGTTTGTGTCCTGAGCTCGCCCAGCTGAAGCCCATTTGGAATGTTTCTGAAGGGAGGGAAGGGCTCTCCAGGCCCGAGATCTTTAAAACGTGAAGCCAGTGCTTGTTGTTTGTGAGACGGTGTCAGGATCGGACCTTAGCCTGACGACTGATCATGTATTTGTAACTGTGGTTCCCTGATGTACATAGCTTCGCACGGTTATTGTTTACCCCGCTTGAGCTCTTTACGCTTCTGATTCCCAAGCTGCATCTCCGGACCTGCTCCCGTCTCTGGCCCCAGCTCCTGCCAACCTAGTAGTTCGAAAGCAAGAAATTGCAAGTAGATAAATAGGTACAGCTTCGGTGGGAAGGGAGCAGCGTTCCGTGCGCCTTGGTGTTGAGTCATGCCGGCCACATGACCACGGAAACGTCTTCGGACAGCGCTGGCTCTTCGGCTTGGAAACGGAGATGAGCACCGCAACCCTAGAGTCGGATTCGACGGGCTTTCGAGCAAGGGAGACCTTTACCTTTTTAAATGACAGCAGAAGCTTTTGTGGACTGAAAGGCCTCCTTGGTCAAGTACACCTTGGGGGCTGATGGATGGAGGGGATTGATCCAGACGCCTTTCTTTCCCAGCTTGCTGAACGAGGAGGGCTGGGCAGAGCTCAGGAAACAGCTTCGAGAGTTCACGCACACCGTGCAGGTAAAACGCTCGGGCTGAGAGCATCTTCACGAGACTTTTGCGAGTGTCTGGTTTTTTGTTTTGTGTTTTAACCAAGCCTGTCTCCTGAATGAACATCAAGATATCAGAACAGAGTTCGAGTCCAGCGGCACCTTTAAGACCAACAAAGTTGTATTCAAGGTATAAGCTTTTGATTGCACGCACACTTCCTCAGATACAGTGAAACGGAATTTCCTCGACCATTACATATAGGAAGGGGAGGGGTTACGGCCGGGAAGGACCAATTAGAGTCAAGGCAGAGACGGAAACAGACATGGAAATTACGAGCTTTTTCCATGTTTGTTGCTGTCTCTGCCTTGACTCTTACTTGGCCCTTCCTATATGTAATGGTTGAGGAAATTCTGCTTCACTGTATCTGAAGTGTGCCTGCACACAAAAGCTTATACCTGGAATAAAACTTTGTTGGTCTTAAAGGTGCCGCTGGACTCAAATTTTGTTCTGCGGCTTCAGACCGACAAGGCTACCCACCTGAATCTATCAAACTAGGAGCTCTATTTAGTATCAACCAAATTTAGGGGTGGGAGAAGGGTAAACTGCAGATTACAGAAGCACAAATTGCAGATGGACCACACATCAGTGAACGCAGGGCACGCTTTTCAAGCATCGCTGTTAAAAATACACAAAGGTGTGAATGGCCAGGCCGGAATCTAGACCTGCAGGGCGTGCTGGATCCCACCATGAAGAAGCTCCTGTTCTGTTGATGAGACAAAAAGCAGATCGCCAAGTTCCTAATGGTATTCCAGACTTCCCAAATCCAGAGCTGGCGGGATGTCCGCGCCCGTCCCCTCTGGGCATGCATGGTGGGGTTCCTGCGCATGCCCTGGGGACTGGGCGCGAAAATCCGTTAAAAGAGCTTGCTACAGCACCGATCGATCCAGTGTTTATTAGATCTATCCCATTGGTGTGTAGCACAGAGACCACGAAGAAGATGCTCCTGTTCTGTTGATGAGACAAAAAGCAGATGGCCAAACTCCTAATGGTATTCGAGGCTTCCCCAATCCAGAGGCGGCATGCTCCCAGCCAACTGCAGAAGTCAATGTTGCACCCACCTTCCCTTCAAAACCATTTGTTTATTAGATCTTTTAGTTGCCACTCACCCGAAGGGTCTCATGGCAACTTACAACATTAAAACCAATAAGGTCAGACATGATTTTTTTTTTTTGATGATGATGATGATGATGGGTTGACAACCTCCCCTCCTTCCTGCCTCTCTGTTCGCCTTCGCACAGGAAGATCTGGAGAGGGAGAGGAGCCAGCTGTTGGCGCGGGCCCTGGTGGCGGAGGAGCAGGTGGCCGAACTGCAGGAGTACGTGGATAAGCACCTCGTGAGGTGAGCGCCCTCCTCCCTCCTCCCTGAAGGTGGCTGCGGATACGAGATCCGGCCGCCTCCTGGAAAGGCTTTCCCTCCTCTTGTTCCTTTCGGGGCCCAGTTTCAGTGTGGCGCTGGCACCGGCGGGCAAGAACATCTCTGAGTGACTTAGCACAGGTCCAGTCTTCTCCAAAGCGAGTCCTTTGCTGCTACCGCTGCACTGTTGGCACAGCGCCGGTCCAGAGCGCAGATGGGCGTCATGCTGGCTTGCCAAGATGGCAAGTGTAGCATCCGAGCAATGCCTCCCTCTAAGCTGTGGAGTCTTGTGAGCAAAAATTCTACTTTGTGAGCTACTGGCATTAAAAGTTGTGAGCAAGTGATTTAGCTACTGCATAAATTAGGTTGCTCTGGAGCCATCCCTTCCTGAGCTGAGACAAAAATGTGTGAGCCAGAGGCTAAAAAACTGTGACCTAGCTCACATTAACTCAGCTTAGAGGGAACACTGCATTCGAGAGCTTTTCAAGCGACACGCCGGGCACGGACACGGCTGGATGCTCAGCTTCCCCCATCCTGCGCCCGCGTCATGTCTAAATGGAGCGCAGGCCACTGGTTGAAGGGGGAGTCTAAAAGCCATGCAACTCCCCTCCCCTCTCTCTCGCTCTCTCTCTCTTTTTTTTGCTTTGGTCCAATGTGGCTATCTGCAACTCCACATGGTCGGAGAGAGCCCCTGGCAGTTAGAGGCAAATATCACAGCCTAGAACGGAGGTGTCAAGCTCATCTGTTATGAGGGCCGGATCTAAGACAAATGTCATTTTGTCGGGCTGGGCCGCGTGTGCCATAAAACGTAACGCCAGGTAGCGGAGGTAGAAACTGTACAAAGGACAGCGGCTGGTAAGCTCTGGTGTATCCCCACTACAAGGCCCCCTGGGCTGGGAGGGAGGTACAGAAGAAAACCCGTATGGGCAGACTGGAGATCCAGCAGTGCAGCACTGGGCAGACGCTCCCACACCGCTAGACTGTGGCAGATGAGGTTGCTCTGCCATGCTGAAGCCACAATCAGAGTGGCTCTGCCCACTCCCCTCCCAAACAGTCTCCTATTCCCTCCCTTGCACTAGTTGTTCGCAGACCGCATAAGAGACCTGGGCGGGCCTGTGGGCTTTATGTTTGACACCCCTGGCCTAGAAGTTTCCAGGGAGCCGGGGGAGACCTGGGGAGCCAATCCCATGCTAGTGCCGACTTGTTGTTGTTCAGTCGCACAGTCGAGTCCGACTCTTCACGACCCCATGGACAAGATCTCGCCAGGCCCTCCTGTCTTCTGCCGTCCTCTGAAGTTGGCTCAATTCCATGTCCGTTGCATCGATGACACTGTCCAACCATCTCCTCCTTTGCCATCCCCGTCTTCTTTGACCTTCAGTCTTTCCCAGCATCAGGGTCTTCTTCTCCAGTGAGGGCTCCCTTCTCATTGGGTGGCCAAAGTATTTGAGCTTCAGTTTCATTATCTGGCCTTCCAGGGAACAGTCAGGGTTGATTTCTTTTAGGATTGACTGATTTGATCTTTTTGCAGTCCAAGGGACTCTCAAGAGTCTTCTCCAGCACCATAGTTCAAAAGAATCTATTCTTCGGCGCTCGGCCTTCCTTATAGTCCAACTCTCGCAGCCATACATGACTACTGGGAATACCATTGCTTTGACCATGCGGACTTTTGTTGGCAGGGTGATGTCTCTACTTTTTATCATGCTGTTTAGGTTCGCCATCGCTTTCCTCCCCAGGAGCAGGCGTCTGCCCCCAACCTGGGCAATGCATTGCTGAGACAGCCCCCAAGTCTGCCACCAGAATGACTGATCTTGTATCTGCTCACTGGTTTCTCCCTCAGCTTTCCATTTTTCTGGGGGCTTGTGAAAGCCAGTCTTGGGCACCTGTGTTGTTAGGTCAACGGCTAGGCTATAAGTGGGGGGGTGAGACTAGATGACCCTTCCAACTCTATGATTCTATGAAGTGTGACTGGCTTGAACCACAGGTCGTTTTGTCTTGTTCTTGCTGCAGATACAAGCAAGAGATTGTGAGGCTGAGGAACCTCCTGGGAACAGACGGGCCCCGAGCACTGAGTGCGGGATCCGCCGACGCCCCGCCGATTTCGAAACCCAGGAGGAATCCGAGCAATGAAATGTAGCGTCTGCATCACAAAGATACAGGAAGGGGCATCCAAGAACATCCAGACCAGAGGACAAGACTGCTTTGCTTGCCAGATAGTGACGTCGGAGCTCGTCAGGCTTGGACACTGAAGTGGCTCGAGAAAACCGATTTTCAATTGTTCGTAAAACAACAACAACACACCCTTCCTCCAAAGAGCTCAGGATGCTGTCCAAACCCCCCCCCCCCAATTTAATCTTCACAACGTCCCTGCAAGGGAGGTTAGGTGAGAAACCACATCATCACTTGCTGAGCTTCGTGGGTCAGTAGGGATTTGAGTTTGGCAGTTCGAGGCCCGAGTGTGCCGCATGACGGAGTGAGCTCCCGTCTCTGGCCCCAGCTCCTGCCAACCTAGCAGTTCGAAAGCAAGACATTGCAAGTAGATAAATAGGTACCCACTTCGGTGGGTCACAGCGTTCTGTGCGCCTCGGCGTCTGGCCACATGACCACGGAAACGTCTTCGGACAGCGCTGGCTCTTCGGTTTGGAAACGGAGATGAGCACCGCATCCCTAGAGTCGGACTCGACTGGCTTTCGAGCAAGGGAAGCCCTTCCTACTATAAAGATAATGTTCTGTATGTTAGCCCACATTGGCTCTTCAGTTCCACGTTGAAGCCGTGTTCTCACATGCTCTCTGTACCGCCATCTCTCCACAACCTACTCCACTGTCATTTACTGCCGAAATTTCGGCCCTGGCCCTGGATTCCAAAGCAGTGTTTGGTGTCCGTGGCTCTTTAAAGCAATCCCGCACGCAACACCGCGTGGTTTCAGCTACTGCATCACACAAGATGGGTCGCCGTGTGAGTCTGTCTGTAGCGGTAGAAAAGAGCCAGAGTCCGGGAGCCCCTTCGAGACTAACAAAATATGTGGCAGGGGAGGAGCTTTCGTGTTTTCAGACGCCGAATGACATTATTCACCTGCTACTGTCATTTGCCTGCTGTTGTCATTCGGCATCTGAAATCACTCCACTTTCCAATAAATAGGAACGACGGACTCCCGTCCTCGCTGTATCTGAAGAAGTGAGCCGCGACGCACAAAAGCTCCTCCCCTACCACATATTTTGTAGGGATTCTTTTAAAGTAAATCAGCAGAGTATTAAGAGACTGAGTCCATGGTGTGTTTTAAAATATAAAAGTTTACTATAAACCTAACATGGGAAAAGGTACACAGGATATGAAAATAACAAAGAACTTATATGCCTACATCCTTACAAGCTAAAGGTCAAACGGAAAGAGCCGGAATGGCGTCTCCTTCTGCAGTCAGAACAAAGAACACAAAGACGGGAAGAGAAGCCATAAAATGCTAATACTTGACACCTTGGTTTCCAATCAGAGTAGCAAACTAGCTCCAAAGTTCCTGGGCATCCTATTGTCTAAACAGATTGGTTACAAACAAACATGTGACTTAACAAACATCATTAACCCTGAAAATACTGAAGTGTTTTAACTTGTAACACCCAACAGTTAAATCTCGAAGGTGCCACTGGACTCTGGCTCTTCACTACTGCATCACAGAAGCACAGTAAACCAATGTTTTAGCACACAATTCAGCATCTCGGGACCCACAGCCTTTTCTGCTCCTTTTAAAATGAATTTCTGGCCCAGTGAGAGCATCGCCACCGTGCCACGAGAAGGGTTGGGAGTCACCGGTTAGTCAGTCCAGTATCCCGTCTCAAACGTTAGCAGAGTGCACCTTGGCTACACGCAGTAGCAGCCCTTTGGTCTCGGTGTGCTAGTTACACAGAGCCGCTTTGTCGGTTTCAAGGCGAATAACAGTCCTTTCCTTTAGGAGCTACATTCTAGATAGTGAAGCTTCAGAGGCAGAACTAATCACAACTACCTTGGATGGGTTTGGATGCAGAGGCACCCAGCCTCCATGGTGGATGTGTGCGAGAGAAGAGAAAGAGAGATGTGCGAGCGAGCGGGAACCCACAGTCCGCCTGTCTGTTTCACTGACTTGTTTGCAAACACCCACCCCCCACCCCCAGGCTGAGGCTTGAGACAGGGTCTAGGCCAGAACTTCCCAAACTTATTTGGCCCTACCGCCCTCTTTTCAGGAAAAAAAAAAAAAACCTCAGCGCCCCCCTGGAAATCTACCTTCAAGAAGTGGACAAAAAGATGCAGTGACAGATTTGCACATGGTAAAGAAAGATGTTGTTGCAAGTGAAGAAAGATGTTGTTGGCCTGAAGCCAGAGGCCAGCAGCAGCCACCGCACAACAGCCCAGCAGCAACACCAGTCTTATATTTGCAAATGCATGGCTGTGATTGGCTCCCTCTCCACCTCCACCCCCCACCACCACCCCGATCCCAGGGAAGACCAGGAGAAGGCAGGAAAAGGCTGCTTTGGATAGGTCCTGGACTTTTCTTTCTTTATGCTTCCACGGCCCCCTTATTTTTATTCAACACCCCCCAATTGCACCCAAGGCTCCTACCGCCCACCTGGATCGTTCCAGCGCCCCCTTTGGGAACCAGCGGTCTAGGCCTTCTCTTCTAACAAGCAGCACACAGTGAAAGCATATAGGATAATTCAGAGGCACTGGACTTGGTTCATTGAGTCCCTTCTCAGCCTGTTAATGACACACCACAGAGAGTAGTAGAGAAGAAGAGAAGAGACTGGATTTATACCCCGCCCTTCACTCAGAGTCTCAGGGCGGCTTACAATCTCTTTTCCCTTCCCCTCCCCACAACAGACACCCTGGGAGGTAGGTGGGGCTGAGAGAGCTCTTTCGAGGACTGCTCCTGAGAGAACAGCTGAGAAGAGAAGAAGAAGAAGAAGAGATTGGATCTATACCCCGCCCTTCACTACCCAAAGGTGTCTCAGAGGGGCTCGCAAACTCCTCTCCCTCCCCCTCCCCACAACAGACACCCTGTGAGGTAGGTGGGGCTGAGAGAGCTCTGACAGTAATGGCTCTTTTTTCAAGAACAGCTCTTATCAGAACGACGGCTTGTCCCAAGGTCATCCAGCAGGTGCAAGTGGAGGAGTGGGGAATCAAACCCGGTTCTCCCAGATTAGAGTCCACGCACTTAACCACGACACCAAACTGGCTAGTATTTCTAGGGAGGGAGCATTGATTGCGTGGCTCCAAATCCAAGAAATGGGAGGTCAACAAAACAAAGAAAGGTGATGAGACTGACCCCACTGCCATGACAACAGAGGCACCCCACCCACCCATCAGATGGAATGAACAACTGGGAAGGCCTCTACTCACACATTCCTTGCCACCTAGAAAGTTAGCTCGTCAGGCAGAACGGTTCTAGCCCGATCCCTGACATGCTTGCTTTCTGTATGCAGGGATAGCTTTTTGTACGAAGGATCATGACCCCCTCCCCCTCTGCCCCCACTGCCACAGTCTGTAACGGGACAGGCCGCATAGAGAGGCCCCGCCTCAGTGATAATCAGACCTAACATGAAGCTTCCCAAGGTACCACCTGTTTTGGGAAGAGCTCATTGCAAACAGAAGAGAAGATAAGAGATTGGACTTATACCCCGCCCTTCACTACCCGACCGAGTCTCAGAGTGGCTTACAGTCTCCTTCCCCTTCCCCTCCCCACAACAGACACCCTGTGCAATGTTCCCTCTAAACTGTGCAATCTTGTGAGCAAAAATTCTACTTTGTGAGCTACTGGCATTAAAGTGGTGAGCGAGTGATTTGGCTACTACATCAATTACCGTATTTTTTGGACCACAAGACTCACTTTTTCTTCCAAAAAAAGTGGGAGGAAAAGTGAGTGCGTCTTATGGACCGAAGGTTTAGAATATTTTTTTCCCTGTTTTCCTCCTTTAAAAACTAGGTGCGTCTTAAGGTCAGGTGCGTCTTATGGTCCGAAAAATACGTTGCTCTGGAGCCATCCTTCCTGAGCTAAGATAAAAATGTTTGAGCTGGAAGCTAAAAAACGGTGAGCTAGCTCACACTAACTCAGCTTACAGGCAACACTGCCTGTGAGGTAGGTGGGGCTGAGAGAGCTCTTTCGAGGACTGCTCCTGAGAGAACAGCTCCGAGAGAACGTGTGACTGACCCAAGGCCACACCCGCAGCAGATCAGCATCCGTGCTCTTAACCACTACACCAAACTGGCTTAGGACAATTAGATTAAAACAAAATGCAGGCATGAAAACCAATCAATTAGCCTGCCCCATTTTTTTTTTTTTTTGCAAAGGATCAAGGGAAGATCCAGAATCGGCATCCTCAGCTAGTGAGGATCCTGACCGGGGGAAGACCAGATGGTGTGATTTCTGCCTGCCACGTCATTCCTCTCTGCTGCCTTTGCAATCAACACTTCATGGTGTTTTAAGCTGACAGAAAAAGGCCTACCTTCCTTAGTGGGTAAAGGGGCGGCCGTCAGCTTTGGTCTCCGCTCTCAAACCGAGCTTCTTTCTGGCTTGTCCTGCCGGGCTCGGCGTACGGCCTTGAGATCATACGCCCAGGCTTGGTTCGGCCCGTCCCCAGCTGTGCTTGTGGGCGTCCAGTTGGGGAGTGGGTAGCGCCCGGCTACCACCCGGGCCTCCTCCGGAAGTTCGGTGAGCAGTTTCCTTTCCAGAAGCTGCAGCTGGGAAACAGATAAAAGGAACTGGGTTACTCAGGGCCTGCCTTTTGTCCTCCTTCCTTTAAAACCACTGGTTACGTTGGTGGTGGTTGGCCTCTATACAATCCTTAAAATCCCCAGGCGCGGTACAGAACGTAGAAAGTAAAACAGGTCCTGCCTGCAGGGATGAACCAACACATTGAGGAGGGGATGAGAAGAGCTGTGAAAGGAGTGCTCATGCCTGTGTCTTAAGGAGAACGTTAGAAGAGCTCCATTGGGCCTCACCTGTTTTCAGGGGTCCTTTCGTAGGAAAAGAGGCGCAGGAGCTCATTCGCACAACTCATTCACATAACTCATTTGCATAGGCCACACCCCCTGACATCACCGGAAGTGTGTCAGAAGGCAACACCCACCACTCAGGCTCCACTGGACTGTTTTGGATTGCTAGCTTTTTGGGGGGGAGGGAACGTGCAGATCTGTCCTCACAGAGGAGGGAGAGCTTGTGCCTGAATAAAACCTGGTCTTAAAGGTGCCACTGGACTGTTTTGGACCAGGGGGACGGAGGGGGCGGGGCCTCTGCAGCTTACCTGGCTGCTTCTTGCTCTGACTGAGGGCTGCTGGGAGCAGGGGGCGGGGCTTGTTGCATGTGCCCACCCTCTGGGCTCTTCTTTTTTTAAAAAAATTAATTTTATTAAAAGATATGTGAAGTATACATAAACAAGATTGCTGTTTAAACATTAATACAAACTGTAAGTGCAGATACATATCTCACAATGCCGTCTATTAATCTGTCAGCAGGATCATCCTTGTCACTTTCTTGTGATTTTCCAATTATTCTACTATTACTAAAGTGATAACGTATAATAAATCCAGATATATTTTAGAAGGACCTCAATAGCATTTTACGAGAGTGCTCAGACCATTAAAAAAAAATTCTCATAGAATTCTGGGTATAAACCTTCGTGTGCATGCACACTTCCTCAGATACAGTGGAACAGACTTTCCCAAGACTTATATATAGATAGAGAGGTTCAGGTGGGGGGTAGCCGTGTTGGTCTGAAGCCACAGAACAAAGTCTGAGTCCAGCGGCACCTTTAAGGCCAGCAAAGTTTAATTCGGGGTATAAACCTTCGTGTGCATGCACACTTCCTCAGATACAGTGGAACAGACTTTCCCAAGACTTATATATAGATAGAGAGGTTCAGGTGGGGGGTAGCCGTGTTGGTCTGAAGCCACAGAACAAAGTCTGAGTCCAGCGGCACCTTTAAGACCAGCAAAGTTTAATTCTGGGTGTAAGCTTTCGTGTGCAGGCACAGAATTAAAACATGTTGGTCTTAAAGGTGCCACTGGACTAAAAACTTTTTTTCTAGTGTTCTCCAGTGTTTCTCTTCACTCCTGCGGCCCCTTCTCACTCAAGGCAAGTTCGTTCCTGGGGTTGTAGAATCTCAGCAGATTAAGGACTCTTTCTGCCTCGACCGCAAGCACAGCTCTGCCCAGGTGCGGGGGCGCCTTCATCGCCTCGTCCCTTCTTGCTCGCCCTCTTCCCCACTCCTCCGTGCAGGTCCAGTGACTTCAGGAATGATCCTTCCGGTAGTCGGAAGGGGCTGCAGGAGGACGGGGGAAACATCATGCGCCTTCCGTGCACAGATATTTTGATACAAGCCATCGGGCGCCACGTTGTGGCATTGGGGGGAAAGAAGAAAAAGTTCTCTCCCTCTGCTTTCCCCACGACTGTACCCAGTACCAGTAGGGGCACATCCTGCAGTCAGTCAAACGCAACGTAGCTGGCATTCCAAAAACGGACTTTTAACCCTGGGTTTTTGAATAAATCTGTGCGTGCGTCTGTGCACGTGAACTGCTGTCAAGTCACTTCCAACTTAGAGTGACCCCACTGTAGGAGAGCAGTGCAGATGGATCCATTGTACTCCTGGCTGTTCTCCTGGCTGGAAATTGGGAACTGAAATATATGTGCGTACTAACAGCATGAGAAGCCTGGTGACTGCCTAACTGATGCAGTCAATCTGGCCTTGGCAGTTGCGAGAGAGATAACAGAGAGCTTGCGCGCACACACACACACACTCCATTCTATGCTCGTATGCCTGTAACTTTCCCTTACGGAGGAAGAGGGAGGGAGAAGGGGGAAGAAAGGTGCATTAAAATAAAACGCTGGGGAGTGAGAAACTTCAGACAGCTTCAGCAGCCGTTTGTGTCCTGTCGTCTTTGCATCGCGTGAACCCTGCAACCACACTACAACCCCATGGGGCTTTTTTTGTGGGTTTTGTGTGTGTACTTGCATGCCTGGAAGTCATGGCGGCTTCTTGCAACTCCTCTTGGGGTTTGGACGTTCCAGAGAGGTGGCTTGGTAACCTGCTTCCGCGTCCCGGCCCTGGTATTCGTTGGAGGTCTCCCTTCCAATTACTTGCCAGGGAGTGACCCTATGATTTTTAACGGCCTCCAAAACGTCCTCCTGTTAACACCCTTGCTCAGGTCTTGCAAACTGTGGGCCTTTGTGGCTTCCTTGACCAACTCAATCCATCTAATGTTGGGTCTTCCTCTTTTCCGGCAGCCTTCAACTTTGCCTAGCACAAATCTACTAAGCCCCCCAAACACTTCCCCCAGCTTGCCTGCTGTGTATATGGCTTAAAAGAAAACCAGAATCAAGCTCAGCAAAGCTTCCCTCTCTGGTCGCCTGGGGAGCCTTCTTCCTCGCCATAGGTGACCAGGCGAGTACAAGCCTGGGTTACTCTTGCTACCACTCCAGCATGTCCCGCTGGACTAATCAGTTCCACCTCTAGGAATCTGGCTGAAACGCGGGAATATCTGGCCCTTCCTACGCCGGTCCCAGGAAGAACATTGTACTTACCACGCTAGGTGCCAGGAACACAGTTACGTTAGCACAGTCTGACAGATCCACCTCAAAAGAAGCAACCAGAACAAATGGTTAGCGTGATCCAGTTTTTTTATCTAAAGATGCTATACAAAACATTAATTACTGAAGATAACGCAATAGCAACAGAAGCGAAAAGGCGGGACGGTGGTCTCTGGATTACTGCTGCCGTTTCGACAATATGTCTTCCTCTGACCAGAAATTGTGCCAATCAATGCCAAGTATGGAGTTCCTCAAGCAACAAAAAGCTGCATACTCATGAATTTTCTTATAGCTTGAGAAGCAACATCTCTAACTCTACACAAAAGTTCTCCCAAAAGGGCTGAAGTCAAAGCTTGGGAGAACTTTTGTCTAGAGTTAGAGATGTTGCTTCTCAAGCTATAAGACACCTTTGGGTAGTGAAGGGAGGGGTATAAATCCAATCTCTTCTTCTTCTTCATGCCCACAGTACAGACAATACAGGTTAAGTTCCTCCAGTAATCACTGCCTATGCTTTGTTATTTTATTACGTATTTCCATCCCACTCTGCTTCCGAGGAGCTCAGGGCAGCATTTGAGAGCCAGTTTGGTGTACTGGTTAGAAGTGTGGACTCTAATCTGGAAGAATTGGGTTTGATTCCCCACTCCTCCATGTGCAGCTGCTGGTGTGACCTTGGGTCAATCACAAGTTCTCTTGGAGCTGTTCTCTCAAGAGCAGTCCTTAAAAAAGCTCTCTCAGCCCCACCTACCTCACAGGGGTGTCTGTGGTGGGGAGGGGAAGGGAAAGGAAAGTGTAAGCCGCTCTGAGACTCCTTCGGGTAGTGAAGGG